ATGATACAGGTCTCGGACGCACGCACAGATGCACGCACACACGGACGGACACATGGAGGTCAAAACATAAGTTCCCGTTTACGGACTGCGTCCGAACGGGGACTAATTAGTCATTTTACAGTACCTCTACAAATAACACAACTGTACCTACATTTACCAAAATGAAATAAATGTAGAATAAATTTATGTAAACAATAGTACAAGACTGAAGAAATGCAAACAATATTTGTTGTTGTGAAAAAAATATTGATTTTGTTCAATGCTACCATTACAATAGCAAAACTTGATGAATTTTTCACAGAAATCTGCATGTTTCTATAGGTTTGTTTAGACTACAGAAAAAGAATCGTTTCTGATCAGGAAATGTTTTTTTTTCAGGCTATTTTTTTTCTTTATTTTTACAGTAATTTGGCTATATTTGAAATGACTAGAGAAAATTATTGTAATTCACTTTCCCATTTTCTTTCTGTACCATGTTTCAATTTCTTCTATTGATACATGTGTAGTTTATTGTATTGAAATATTATAAATAAAACAATATCTACAATACATGCTTTTTAGTTGGATCATACTACAATATCAACAAATACAAATAATTTGTAATATTGATAAAGCTGACAAGATCACTTGGGTGCAGCTGCTTTTCACAATATTTTTTCAATAATCAATACATATTTCCATCTGAATGTAGTGAACATTGATTTTCTTTTTATTCTTGCACAACTTGCACATTTAATTTGTCATGGTTACCAGAATATGCAACAATAAGGAATAATTAAAACTAAGCATACTCACACCCCCATCCACATGTACATTAAATTAATTTTTTTGCAGCGGGTATCACAAGCAACCATTTTGCAACTTATTACTGAACATTAATTAATTTATAAAGAGGGGTTCGGGTTGGATTGGGGTTCTGGTGGAAGAGAGGGTGGAATTCATTTAAAACATTCTACAATGATATTGTGTAATTCAGCCATCCATAAATAAGTTTTTCTTAATGCATTGCAGATGCATTTTGAAAGTGTCACTGGGCATCACATTTTACATTGAACTACCCTTCTATTTGTTTACAATTGAATAGAACAATATACATAATCCAGTAAAAATTGCATAGATATGAATTTTATGAACTGTGTTTTACCAAATTTCACAAATTTGCCGAATCGAATATTTTGTAATAGATGTGTGTGTGATGTTTGGGAGATACATATATGTATGTATACTTATTAATTAACAGTTTGGACATTGATAAAATTCATGTTACAATTTGTAAGCAAAATCTATAGATACAATTATACTATTAATACAGGGGCCTGAACATGTAAAATCGGGAAAAGTAAGGGGTGGGCTTAAGAGCCACCTCAGAAAAGATGATTTGGGGGGGTTAACGTTGTAACCATCTTACACCCATGAAAAATTATCCAAATTACATCTTTCGTTCACCACACCGGGCTCGGGGAAATATGCGATCTGTTGTCCTGATTTTAACGAAACATTACGATCTTGTTGTTTATCATATAATGTATGTATCAAGATAAACAATAGCAACTCCATGTATAACTCAGACCTGGGTCCGAAATGGCAGAAATGCTTAATTTTGATATATTTTTTACAAGTAATATGGTGACCAGTTGATCTCTTGAATCACATACATATGTTTGGAAAGATGTATTATGTATATATACAGTTTGAATGAGATCAGTAAAGGCATGTCAGATATACAGCTCTGGAACCACACTCATCAAAACAAAATGGCCACCAGTCAACCATTTCAAATCTGATCTGAAAAACAAACTGACATGCATCAAGATCTCATAATGTCCAATATAAAAAGTCTGAATGAAATAAATTCATACATGACTGAGATGTAGTTCTAGAATGGCAAAAATACTTGATTTTTATAAATTGTTAACTTTGGAATGGCCGCCATTTGGCCATCTTCAATAAGATCATGAAATGATATATGATAGTGTGTGATGCATGTCCGAGATATAGTTACATACAAACGTATAGGAAAGAAGCAGAGTAGTCAATTTATAAGTCTCCATTTTGTACAAACAAGAACTAATAAGCTAGCTCATAAAGCTACATTCATATAAAACAGAATAGACAAATGGCAGTTGACAAAGGAAGAGAGAGATTGTTTATGAGACTTATTTCATTCAAGATGAATTCCATTTTAAAATATAATGCAAAGATATACGGCTTCAATTTATACATTTACTACTATTCAAGAATTTTTATATTAATAAATATTATCACCAACAATGTACAGTATATGTAATTTTTATTCTTCACGCTTAAACACTGAAAAGCCAATTTGTAATTTTCATGTGAAATCTAAACTTTCCTGTGTACATGTACTATTTATTTTACTTGTACAATCCACACCTAGCGTGCAGAATTCAAATAAACAATTATAAATAATTGTTATACTCGTATACAATCAATTTATTTACAAACATACAGCAAATAAACACAGCAATTTCATACACTATCATCTAGATATAGCTTTGTATACATTGTACATGTATGTATGATGTCATTTAGTTTCCAGCCAGTTTGATCATTGTACATGCAATCCTGACAAAGAAATATCCTTTCTCAGTAGCAGAGCAGTAAAACATGTTGTGGTCCTTAACATTTTTACCAGCAGACCTCCTCAACCAATTTTTGTGCACTTTTTGATTATATTCTTCAAAATTTCTGGAAAATGAACCCTAATTTTGGAGCCAACAGACAAAATTTTAGTCAATTTTCAATTTTGGTTGTGAAAATGTTAACAATAGTAATGCATGTTAAAAGCCATGCATAATACTGTGCAGCACCAAAATTAAAAGAAATAACTGTCAATATCCTACTACACTACACTGTGTATGTACAGTTAGCTCAATCAAATGAACACACAGTTATACATGTATGCATTACAAGTTAAAAGCCTTGAGTGGCCCTGGGGCATTATCAATGACTTTCAAAATGTTCTTGAACTTCAGTAAAATGGGTCATCATGGTTACTTGAGGACTGCTTTCCTGCAAACTCTTGTTAGTAGTGATGCATGAATTATAATAAAACAAGCCATGTATGGCAGTCCCCATTAGTTATCAAATTAAGAAATAGTTTTGTTTATAGTAATATACATGTAGTTGGAACATAACATGTCAGAGATATGAATGCGGAAACTTGATTAGAATGATTTTTTAACATTAAAATGATTGACATTCAGTCATTTTGTACCTTATCATCAAATGAGTACTTGTCCACATTGAGAGATATTGCTCTGGAACAGCATTAATTAAAACAAAATGGCCACCGTCTGGTCATTTTTGAATACATCTGTATATACCGGTATATGTCGTGATGTATAATGAATATATAAAATTTGAACATAATAAGTCAAAGCATGCCACTCAGCCATTTTGAACCTGATCTAAAAAACAAAATGACGAGTATCAACACCAATAATTACTAATGTACATGTAAGTACAGAGTTTGAACAAAATCAATCTGTAAACAGACAAGATCAAGTTCTGGAATGCCAGAAATGTTTGATCTTGGATGATATTTCAGCACAAAAATGGCTGCCATTCAGTCATCTTGAATCAGTTAGTGAAAAAAACCTGCCTACTTAGGCAGGCAGACAAGCAGGCAACCAGCTCATCAGGCAACAAGCCAGCCAATTAGTCTGACAAGTTAGCTAACTTACTCACCCATTACCCACGAGTCTTTGCATGTTCCTTCAATCATTGGCAGATTGACTACCATGCATCCAGTAAGTAGTTGTGATTGGTCAAGTTTCCAACTGTCATTTAAAATTTATAAAACATTTACAAATGTTTTATAGGAAAGGACTTTCATGAAATGGAATGTACATGTACCTACCCTATTTTTATTTCAGTGTTATTTGAAATTTAATATAGATATTAAAGAAATGTGCACATTTTAAATCATTTGAAAAATTACTGTATATATTTTAATTTACACAGTACTTTCAAGATATCTGACAATATCTAGTAATTACTAGTTTTTTATCTATTTTATCTATTTTGAGTTGTTATGCAAAAAAATCATATATGATATTTGGCAGAAATCCGCACATTAAATATTAGCATATTGCAGCTACATACTGAGTCATTATTGCTTCTCGTAATACCACACGTTATGTCGGCATTAGTTGTGAATAACCTCTTATTATCATTACTGCTATTGCTTTTCAAATTTGTACAAATGTAGAGAATTTTTAGAAAATTTTAAACCTTGACATACCAACTCTAAGTTCAACTTTTGTTTTCTACAACCTTTTTCAAAATCAATGTCTTACATATATCTAGATGTAACAAAACAATGATCCAATTCATGTGATGTCACTATCTTTTTATTTGATAAACCTTGACCATATAATCTAGTGCATATTTTTATTGTTTTAAAAATGCATCAAACTGAAACTATCAATAACCGTATGTGTGTTTGGTGACATTTTAGCTAAATAATAAAACATAAATACCAAAGCAAGACATCCTTAAATGTCAATACAGTCTGTTTAGCTACGAGGTTTCATACGATTAAACATATAAAGCAATAAACATTGTAATTTTTGACGATTTTATAATAAGATATCTGGTATGGACAACATGTATTGCATACTTTAATTAGCATCGTTACCGAAATCTTCATTGATGTGAAATAAATTGGAAAAACGACTGGTTAACAGTTTATTGTTATTATTATTAGCCAGAACAACCTAATTCAATGCAATGGTACGATCGTTAAGATGGATCGTAAAACACAGTTACACTTGGAAATAGTTGTGCATCTATGTGCATAATATTCCATCATCGAATTTATATAAAATATTCGCGTTACACCAAATCCCTTGGTTACAGCATGGAGCTAAGAATTACAAGCTTCCTTGTAGCAGACCTAGTTAGCGCTACGGATTTCTCTGAATGTTCAGACAGTAGCACAGGAAGATATCACAACATACTTGTTTAATACGTACCTTTCTTCGATTTGTCGGAAGGTATACTCTGAGCTCGCAATCGTTGGTCTAAGATATACAACATCTCACCGCCAAGATTGATAAACAGTAGCGGAAGCGTACGTAGCGACATCTTCGATTATTTCAGTAACCAACACGTACGTCAGATTGGTTTACCTGTCACAAACACCTTGCTACTAACCAGTAGCCGAGCGTTGTTGCCGTGAAATAACAAAAATGGCGACTTGCAGGTGAAATCACGCCCCCTACTCTCGAAGGCGAGTAAACACTTAAATACTTGACGTTGAGGGCGAAGTCATAACATAATTTCTTGAGTTGCCGAAGCATCTCGTGTACCCTCAGTATGCCACATCATTCACAAACAAAAAGCTAAAATAAAATAAACAAGTAATCCACAAAACGTCGTGATATTGGCGAAAATCGCTTAAAAGCCATTAATATAATAATGCCACTGTGGCGGAGGGGGTGATTCAAGTTAACCGCCAAATTAACATTTTGTTCATTAGACAATTATTATTTTTTACTAGTTTAATTCATTTGAAAAAAGATCGTTTAACAAATTCCCTCTTAATAAAGTATCTAAAATTGGCATTAAAGGTAGTTTTCAATGTAACTAATGTACCTTAAAGGGCGGTGGTCGCCGTGCAGCGCGTGTTCGAATTTCGTGTAAATAAACAATGTATTTTACACGCGTTGTATACGTCGCTATGAGTCCCATATCGAACAGGACGCGGCGCGACGACCACTGCCCTTTAACAAAACGAATTTTCAATAATTATAATAACTATTGCAAACGACAAACCCACAGCAACGCTCTGACATGCATTATATAAGGGGACATGAAACTCAGTTCAAATCCAACGCGAAACATCGACTGTAACGCTTTACGCGGTGTGTAATTCAGGTATGTAACACTATGAGACTGAACAACAAAACAAGAATCGATCCGTACCTGGGTGAGTGTACCACACACTTAGTGGGGAGTGTACTTAAGACCACTGACCGAGTTATTCGCTAACGGATAAGGGAACCTTGGTAAGATCAGGGAGCTGTAATCTCATTACAGCTCCCTGGTAAGATCATGGAGGTATAAACAGAAGGAGTTACAACTGGTTTAAGATCAAAGGTTCCATGATCAGTTCCGCCGTTTACTCAGTGAATATAATGTTCGCTTGTTAGTCTAGCAGCAATCTGTTATACCTCCATGGTAAGGTTCATGGGTGATTATGTTTGCCTGGTGGTCATCGGGATATCACATTTCATTACCATAATAGCATTATGATAGAGTTCGAAATTCAAACGATTTAAAAATTAATTATGTTATACTTTTGAGTTTTCTTTGAAAAAAATCTGTATTTCACGTGGTCTAGATAGTTTACAATACTAGTACATCAATAATTCATATAAAAACTAAATGCTCATTGTGCATGTGACGTATGTTCTGGTATATTTAACAAATTTGTATATCCATTACTAAGAAAAATATGATTTTTTTTCTTGTCGTTGTTTAATCGTAACATACATCAACACATTCCCGGCATGTCCTTTGTTTTGTCGATCGAAATTCAAAATTTGCTTTTGAATGTCATTAAATTATTGAGTGCCCGTAATTCATTTCGATCACTGGTGAGAAAAAAGAAACATGTGTATAACGAAAAATTGCAGGAAACAATTAAAGAAAAGTGTATCTGGGAAACTATTAGAAAGAATAAGAGTAAAAATCAAACATCTATAATACCATTACAAGATTGGGTCATGTACTTTGGAAAAACTGTTTAACCAGGATTCATGTAACAATAACATAGATCGAGAGCATCTTACTGATCAGAAGTTAAAAACGTTCTGTATCGCATTCATTGAAATTTGATGAAACTGACACGGCATTGAATGTGCCAATAACGAATGACAAAATTATTCAGTCAATAAATAAACTTAGAAGTGGCAACTCTGCAGGTTCTGGCCCTTTAATCGCTGATTTTTTTAAAATTCTCATGTGATTTGTCGATAACATTTTCGAATGCCCTTTTTAACTTAATTTTTAATACTGGTATTTTCCCAGAAGGTTGGTCAAAAGCTATTATTATTCCTATCCACAACAAAAAAACAAAACAGTCGAAATGATCCCGGTAACTATAGAGCTCTATCACTCATAAGTATATTTGGAACAATCTTCACCAGTATGGCTACTCAACTATCGACCAAATATTTACATTATATGCCATAATTCAGAAACAGTTAGCCAGGAGGGGGGATTGTATTGCCTCTATATAGATTTCCAGAAGGCATTCGACTCAATTCGGCTGGTCAATAATGGTATCAACGGAAAAATGTATGTAATTTTACAAAGTATTTATAGATGTAAAATCATGTGTTCGTGGAGGATTTCTTCGAGATCATTTGAATTGAAGAATGGGGTTCGACAAGGGTGCATGATCATTTTATTCTCATTTTACATTAATTGATTACATTACAATTGATCCCGAACGAGTTAGAGTTGTTTTCATTATTGTATGCTGACGACATTGCTTCATTTTCAAATCTGTATCGGGCTTGAAAAGATTAATAAGTGTAATGTATGAGTTTACAAACAAGTGGGATCTAAATATCAACTTAAATAAAACTAAAATTGCAGTATACAGAAATGGGGGGATATCTCAGTAAACTAAATCATTGAATACATCATTTCCATGCATTATACGTATCTTATCTAATGATTGAGATATTTTTCTCAGTTAATACCTTATGTATGAATTTCATGTTACGATTGTGAAACTTCCCTGACGGTGGTGATGACCGGTTCAATGGTTCTGTGAAGTGTCACGATATTATGTACAATCAACGGAACTTTTATAAATGTCATATTTAGTCGCAAATTCAACGAATGTTTGATTATACCACAGGGAGTTGGACAAACTTGTGTATTATAATAAATTATTAAATAATAAATTGTTATATAACTTTTCTTTACCCCCCCCCCCTTCCTGGTATCGATTTTAAGTAATTACTGATCTTTGTTTATACCACACTTTCCTTTATCACAATCTTTGTTACGCGCTAATGTTATATGCAAATTTTAACGAGCGATGTAGACACACCATATTATAGTATATATCCCAAGGGTTGAAACGCGCCAGGACTGTGGCATGAGCACAACCGTAAAGCGGGTGGGCATTTAATTTAGACGATGGCAACTCCACGTTGTGGCAGATTTAATACACACTACTACAGTTCGACTAAAGTTTACGGGTCAGTCACACGAAGTCCCCCAAATTCAAAAGGGATTTTTAGATGCATCGGGGAACACGAGACGAACAGTGTGCATACTTAGATGACGACTCCACACTAAACGCAGCGTGAAAATGGCAATTTATACTTTCCGGGGCAGATTTACATGATACTACAGTTCGATAACACGGCCAGTCACATAACATCCATCAAAAGGGAGTTGCAAGTCGTATATTGCCAAAACAGTACCATGATTTCACAACTTTCGAAATACGTTCGCTTTTATCGATGTCTACAGTTTAATGTCTTCCCGTTCGCAAGAACACAAAGCCTAAACTATCATAAATTCGTAACACAAAATTTGAGTGATGGTATAACAAAATAACTCATCATTTGTAAATTCAATCCATCGAAAAAGTATAGAGAACATTTTTATAAACAATTTTTAATTATATAAATACACTTTGAAAAGAAACAAGATTTATAAACATAAATCTATTTAAATACATTCTCACTACAAATTACACAATACTTATTTTCTAATAAAGTTTCTTCACAGCACAAACTATTGGAATCATGCACACGTGTGAGTACTTCTGTGACACATTTTATAGCTACGCCCAAAATAGTCCATCACTGTGAGCACATGACATCCACACATTTTCATAAAATCTCCATGCACTTTTTGACCTTTCATAAGTACAATACACTACAATTTACTCCAGAAAAACAATTTTCTTGGTACATTCCTACATTCTTGCATACTAATGAGGGATTCAGACACATTCCAAGCTGGACAATTTTCTTGGACTAACAACAAAGCTGGTCAATCCTTTCCCAGCAATAATAATGGATATTTGATGGAGTGATTTACATTATATATTATTACAACATATGCAACATTTTCAAGATTAAAGTGCCAAAATAGAAGTAAAATTTAATGTTGTATTATAAAATTTCTAGTTTCTTTGTTTAATTTAATAAGGTATCCTTTTGTAGATAGTTTGTATACAGATTCAAATTTGTTAAATTTTGTAACACTTCATTAGAAATGCAACATAGGATATTCTAGGAAAATCACCTCGCTGTGAAACAATTACACTTGAATGACTGACTTTATCAAAACATATCATCCTAGCTACGTCCTTTGTTTTGTCGATTAAGATACAAGTATGTTATTGAAAGTGGATCAGTACAACACCGTTCGAGTGGAACAGTTAGCATCAATTGACACAAATAACATCATTATTGCACAGTTATCGACATAAGAAGTTAATGACATAAAGATTATTAGTTATATGTTATTAGTTTCGTGCACGCTATCAGAGAGATGGTCATCGAATATGCTGGTGTAATGCTAAAATAATTACAGTCAATTTGATCTAGGACAATAAATAACACTTTACTGTTGAATTCAACTTTTTTATCTATGACTCTGACTACACATTCGGTATTTTAATTCCACCCGCCTGGTCACTCTATACAGATAATATACAATTATTATATATCTGTCATCGTAACACCATAAGTTACAGCGTTCCGTAATTTTGTGGTATTTTACGGGGTATTTTCATCCTACTATATTAGGAAATGCGAAATCAAGGTTAAAATCAAGCGAGCTTTTGCCCTTTTGCTCAACAAGGGGTTACGTACCACGTACTATCTTTGTGCATGCTTTGAGGTATTCTGGTAATAACCTTATATTATTCCCAATAATTCCTAACCTATGTTCTTTCTCATCTTACATATGCAGTATGTTGAAGTGTACGGCGTGCAAGACTAAAATCTTGATGAATTGTATTGACTCTCAGTCTCGTTGTACAAACATTTATTTGTGTTTGAGAATAAAAGTTCTATTTTAATTTCTTCATGCAGTTGTGTGTACAAGTCAAATGAAGTCTTATATTAGTCTTATATGCCAACGGAGTACAGCCTCGTTGAAGCACGTGGTCGACAGTAAAAAGTCATCCCAAAACTACGCAATTAAAATA